TAGCATGTGCCAGACATTTCTGTAGGTCTTTAGCTGACACTCTGGGATTCTTCTTTACCTCATGCAGCATTCTGCGCTGTGCTCTTGCAGTCATTTTTACAGGACGACCACGCCTAGGGAGAGTAGCAACAGTGCTAAACTTTCTCCATTTGTGGACAATGATGTCTTACCGTGGACACATGAATATCAAGGCTTTTGGAGATATTTTTGTAACCCTTTCCAGCTTCATGCAAGTCAACAATTCTTGATCGTAGGTCTTCTGAGAGCTCTTTTCTGTGAGGCATGGTTCACATCAGACAGTGCTTCTTGAAACCAGTAAACCCAAAACAGGTGTGTGTGTTTTTTAAGGGCAGGACAGCTGTCAGCAACACATCCAATATCATCACACTGATTGGAGTCAAGGTTGGCTCACTCCTGGCTCAAATTATCTCTGGGAGAAGTCATTAAGCTAGGGCCTCACATACTTTTTCCTCCCTGCACTGTGAATGTTTACATGTTATGTGCAATTAAACCACGGCAACATCTAATGTTTGTGTATTATTATGTTCAGCAGACTGTGTTCTTCTATTGTTGTGACTTAGATGACGTTCAGAGCACATTTTATGCCCAATTCATGCAAAACTCCACGTAATCCCAAGGGGTTCACATACTTTTTCTTGCAACTGTAACTGTGATGAAAGTTGCTGTTACTAACATTCCGTAGAGGATCCTGCATGATTCGAAGGTGGCAGTGTACCCTGGAGTGAGCTCAAGTTGGGTGTCCAATGTGTTAGTTATCTCTTATAAATTGGAGATATTAATGGGCACAATTCACTAAAGCTTATCGCATGAGTTAAGTCAGTCACATGACCACATATCGCATGCGATACTGAAAATGTCAAGTAGTAGTCTAGGCTTGCGGTATGTACTGTTATCTGTCAGTACTGTCATGGGTTGTTAAGGAATGGGGGGCCGCGGAGTCCCTAACAACCTATGAGTCATCAGCTGTTAGCAGGGTTCCCCACTGACTGCTGAATGTAAAAAAAAAAAAAAAAAAAAAGAATTGCCAGCAATTACAAAATGATTTAAAAAACGATGTGGGGTTCCCCCCCCCCATCCATACCAAGCCCTTCAGGTCTGGTTTGGATTTTTTTTTTAAATGGCATGGGCCCCCCCCCAAAATCCATACCAGACCCTTATCTGAACATGCAGCCAGCAGGTCAGTAAAGGGAGGGGATGAGCGAGCATCCCTCCCCCCCCCCGAACCATACCAGGACACATGCCCCCAACATGGGGGGGTTCTTTGGGGCAGGGCCACCCCCCCCCCAAAGCACCTTGTCCCCATGTGCTTAGCGGAATCTGGAAGCCCCCTTAGCAAGTTGGCCCCCAGATCCTGCTCCCCCCATGTGAATGAGTATGGGGTACATGGTACCACTATCCATTCACAAAAAAAAAACCTGTAGTGTGAAAAAAGACGAGACAGGCTTTACAAGTCCTTTATTAAAAGAAGGAAAGTTTTGGATCCTTGTGGTCTCTGTTTTGTTTGATTATCATTTCTGTTATTCTGTTTATTATGGGATCTGCGTATCCACATTGTTCTATTTATGTGTAATCCTGCTGTTGCAGTAATGTCATTGTGGATTCTGTAACTACTGTTCCATTTTCTCTATTATCTTGACAATAAAAGTTGTTTGGATTTAAAAAAAAAACAGAAGGAAAATAAAAGAATGTCCCCTGAAGTAAATCCAACGTCAATCACGATGCCCGCCACCGACCCAAAAAAAAAAAAAGGAAAGGCTCCATTCCTGACGCTGGGTCCCAGCCGTCTGACTGCTCCGCTGGTTTGACAGTTTGTAAATATGTAAGAGGAGGTGCCACCTAGTGACATCACGCATGTGACCCTGCCCCCGTGTGACATCATTGACCCAGCAGCACTTTTTTTTTAAATGTTGTGTGGTATCCTACCTCATACTTGGATGTGGTAAGATACCACTTAGTGAATTGTGCCCGTTGTCCAGTAATGTAGTGGCCACTTCTGGTTGTGGAGTGGTGCGGCAGTTTTGCATGCTGGATTTTGGCACTTAGAATATTTAACTGCATTTGTGGCCCCTAATTTGCTCACCAGGAGTGGATTTATGGTATGTTTAGATTTGTTTAGCATGTTTCTGTTTGGCTTAAGATTTTAGTCATTATCACAGTGTGGTGGTCCTAAACGCACGTATTTATAGTGGGCTCAAACACAGTTATTCATATTCTTTGATTCTAGCACTTTATTACAGATCAATTATTTGGGTTTGTGCATTTATTTTTGAATATTATTTGTGTCTTCCTATATTTGGAAAATAGAGTGCAGCATTACCTTAGAGCACTAAGCGCATTAGAATATTTGGTTTAATTTTTTATATATATATATTATGTCTTAGGCCTTTTTTTACACTGGGGTCGGGGGGCGTATAAAAATAGGTGATTGAACTTTGGCTTTACTGACCCCGACCGCCCACAAAAAGTGTAAAATACAGCCAAAGGGGGCTGTCCACCTGCTGTGTACACAAATTTAAAGTACCATGATGAGTTTGCAGGCAGCACCGTCTGTCAAATTCTGCCACTCCTTCTGTCAATGGGGCTACGCAGGGTAGTGAGGCAAGCACTGGGCCCATGTTTGTGGTGCATTACCCTCTTTGTCATTTGTCACTCGGCAAAATAAACAAAGTATTAGTTGGTATTCAGAAGTTGGTAGGATCACCCCCTGAACACCTGACAGTGGCTGTTTAGGTGCACTCTAAAAAGCGATACACTGCTGATCAATTTTCAGAACATGGGCTAGTGTGAACCCAGCCTTAGAAAAACATACATTTAAAGAGGTATTAAACCCAAAAACCAAAAATGTAATATATAGCAGCTTACCAATCATTAGAAGTAGTGGCTGCATTCATTTTCTTTAGGCTTTAGGCTCTTTCCCTGCTCCACAGGCTGTCCTCCCTGGGAGACGTTGAAACAGTGGAGATCCTCTTCTCCAGCAACCTGCCTGTAGGTAGGCTCCCCTCCTTGGGCCCCCCTCAGGCTCCACACACCAGCCTTCCTCAATCCATCACCCACCTCCCACCAGGTTCTGCCACATTTGAGGGTTGCCCTGGTCACCATACCCAGCCTCCTGCTAGGGGATTGGCGAAGGTCCCTCATACATGCAGATCTGGGCCTTTTCCCCTCCTCCACCCCTCTTCCAGAAAGCTCTCAGGTTTCTGAAAAGGTGGGAGGGCTCCAGAAGCCCTGACCTGTAAGAGCCTCCTATCCTGTCCTGAGGTACCCTCACTCCCCAGGCTGACTCAACCCCAGGCTGCTACTCAGCCTCTAACAAAAACTACCGTTACATAAGCAACCCTGTCAATGGTAAATGGTTTGTCTCAACCCTCTTAACTGACATATTTGCTGGACAGCTTGTTCTTTTGAAAAACACCACGTTTATTGGCCAGATCACCAGGTGAAAATGAAAGAAACCCTAAAAAATAAAACTAATGCAGACACCACATCAAAGAATTGGTAAGCTGTAACATAATAAATGTTTGATTTTGGGTTTAATACCACTTTAGGGAGAGGATCAGAAAAGCCAGCACTCATGCATGAAGATAATTGTGCATCCAGTTGTCACCAAAGTGTACCTGTCATGTAAACATGCAGCCACGTAGCTTTATAATAATTGGCACAGAACGGTGCAGTTTATTGGTCGGCGTCCAAGGATTGTGCGACAGTTTTACATACCATGTGACACACATTGGCCTCGGTCTTGGATGGTGCTGTCCTGTTTGTTTTTGCCTGATGAACTTGCAACATTTCCTTCCCAATTCCCCTCACAGCTTGAGTGGCTGAAGTGAAGTCACACCAATGCTGGGAAATTAAGACTTAAATAAATGCCTGCTTAACACTTTCACTGCTGCCCTGATCAGTGTACTAACAGCTTGCATCCCTGACACTGGAACAATGCCTGCCACTTTCACCACCAAGATGTCATTGTTGAACGCCATCAAGAAGAAGCATCCCCTCTATCCCAAATACATATACATTTAGATATCATTAATGTAACCCCAATCATCCAAGTCTCATATAACTATAAAATGTTACTGTTATTTCATAAACCGTTAGAATCATTTTTACCTATTTGCCTACCGAGTACTTTTACCCCCTCCCTGCCCAGGCTAATTTTCAGTTTTCAGTGCTTTTGCACTTTGAATGACAATTGCGCGGTCATGCAACATTGCACCCATATGAAGTTTTTATCATTTTTTTCACACAAATAGAGATTTCTTTTGGTGGTATTTACTCACCCCGCTGGCTGTGTTATGTTTTGCGCTATAAACAAAAAAAGAGCAACAATTTTGAAAAAAAAAAAAACATTTTTCTTTGTTTCTATTATAAAATTTTACAAACAGGTAATTTTTCTCCTTCACTGATGTGCATTGATGAGGCTGCACTGATAGGCAGCACTGACGGGCACTGATAGGTGGCACTGATGAGCTGGCACTGATATGTAACAATGATGGGCACTGATAGGCAGCACTGATGGGTGGCACTGACTGATGGCACTGCTGGGCAGCACTGATGGGTGGCACTGCTGGGCATATGTGGGTGGCATTGATGGGCACAGGTGGGTGGCACTACTGGGCACTTGTGGGTGGCACTGCTGGGCACAGATGGGCGGCACTGCTGAGCACTTATCATCAGTGCCAATCCGTCCTCTGTCAACTGCCAGTTATCAGCAGTAATTTCCTCATGCTGTGACAGCGTGAGGAAAGTACAGCCGATAACCGTCAACTGAATTTGCTGGTGATCTGCTGTGTCATTGGACACGGCTGATCACGTGGTAAAAGGCCACTGTGATTGGCCTTTTACCACATCACGTGATCAGCTGTGTCCGTAGGACACAGCGATCACAGAGATCTTTGTTTGCGAAACGTAACTTCCCCCTTTGGGAGGAGTTCCACTTTAAGGGGCTTGCTACCTACATCCTTCTGCCTATTTTCCTTGCCACTTTAAATATGGCATGCCCCTGTGCCAAAACTATGAGCCCAAGGACACCTGCACACACAAAGACATAGTGAAAACATACTTGAAAGATAAGGCACAGGGTCTTAACAAGTGAGGAATCTGGAGAAAATTCTACACAAGCTTGTTATACAGTTCCAAACATTCCTTATCAATGATATCAAACATCTCTTCAGATAAATATGCGAATTCCATTCCTTACTCCATCCTCACTTAGGCAACAAGAAACCTCTGCAGATGGGTCATTCTGGTTAGTCTCTGGTTATCGGCTTCCCTGATGGTAGGAACTGGCAACTAGCCCAAGAAAGGGGAACCAGCAGTCTATAGCCCAAGTGATAGGTGTCATCTGCATAGCAGGGCACAGGGGTTAGGCTTACATACCCAATGTTTCCAAACTCCTCCTGTAGCAACCTTCATATAACTCCCCTGTACCGACTGCGAGACAAGTCCTTGTTGGTGTCATGGGCACCACACTTGCACACACTGCGGCATCACCTTCAGCTTTACTCAACTCCCACAGGTGCACAACAGGGCTTCATAGGTTCAGCACTTTCTGAGACCTCTTCCAATACTAAATTTTCCTCCTCTGACCAGCAATGACTACCGCTCTCCTCAATGTTCAGCTCTGCCAGGTCCAGCCTCAACCCTGCTAGCTGCAGGGGAAGCAGCCCAGACTACAACTCTTGTTGTCTCTCAGGACGCTTAGGCATTAGGGTATGTGCATCAGGCAGGAATTCAGCAGAGCAGTCTGGGGTTGCAGAGACAACACAGTCTCAGCTACTTGGTATGTGATAACTCAGAACAGGTGTCTGAGACATCCTGGGCAGCTTCATAAGTCGGCATTAACTCAAACAACAGGGTTCCACATACCAAGTTCATAAACACATACCTATATTCATCCTTAAGCTTGCCCTTAATATATTCCAATGTCAGTTCATCATTGGATGTGCATCAAGTGCTGTGACAAGTGTTTCATAACTTTCTGGTAAACTGCTAAGTAATAGTGCTGCGACATGAAAATCTTTTATTTCTTCTATACTTTTCAGGCTTTCAGCCATGTCCACAGTGTGCCTTATGTAATCCTGCATATCCTGGCCTTTCAGCAGCTTGGTTTGGTATAGCTTTCTAATCAAATACATTTTTTTGCTGAGATTAGCTCTTTCATGAATCTTTGGTAATCTTTCCCACACTTCCTTGGCAGTTTCACACATATATATGTCTGATTGGATCATCTTCTATGCTAAGAGAGATTGTGCTCTGACATTTCTGGTCTTTCTCTATCCACTCATCTGAAGGGTGTTCTGGCCTGACTTAATTTATACATTTTCACGTACCTTCTCTTATTTGCAGAATTTTCATCTTGAATTTCCAAGACTGGTAGTTCTGGTTTCTCAGATATAAGAATGAAAACTTTGTTGCTGCTGTGTTACTGGCCATTTTCTTAAAATTTGTTGCCATATTCTTTCTGTTGTATCTTGCACTCATTTGCTGTAGACGGCTATGACTGGGTGTCTGGGCCCATAACCTGTAAAAAAAAAATTCTGTATATATCCCTACAGAACAGACAGTGCACAGTTCACATGTGTTTATCTGCTGCTTCTCGGCAAACAGGAAGTTTATTATAGAGAAAAGACATAAAGGTCTATCATAAATTATTATTATACAACAAAATATATTATACAAATATAAATTATTATTATACAACAAAATAAATGCAACTACAAACTTATAAACATTGCCATCTACTGTCTGAAAAATATATCTCTACTGAATACTGATGTATTAGTTGTAGTAGTAGTAGTAGTAGTAGTAGTAGTAGTTGTTGCACAAAAATACATAAACAATGTATGCCAACAAGTCGGCATTAACTCAAACAGCAGGGTCCCACATGCCAAGCACCTGGCCCAAGGCTGAACCTCTTCAGACAAGTAGTGAGTCCTCTCCTGACTCATGGTACAGCACTAGTTCCATTACTGGCTGGAACCAGATACTGGTAATCAGCTTAGGGAATATGACACCAGCCCTCTCCATAGGGCTTTCAGACAGGCCCGGACATTTACTGGCTTAAGCAGGGGGACACGTCTGGCACTGCAGGATCTGAGTCCCTGGTGGTGTAGTGTGTTACTGATGGTAGCCTTTATTACGTTGGTCCCAGCTCTCTGTAGGTCATTCACTAGGTCCCCCCGTGTGGTCCTGGGATTTTTGCTCACCGTTCTTGTGATCATTTTGACCCCACTGGGTGAGATCTTGCGTGGAGCCCCAGATCGAGGGAGATTATCAGTGGTCTTGTATGTCTTCCATTTTCTAATTATTGCTCCCACAGTTGATTTGTTCACACCAAGCTGCTTGCCTATTGCAGATTCAGTCTTCTCAGCCTGGTGCAGGTCTACAATTTTGTTTCTGGTGTCCTTCGACAGCTCTTTGGTCTTCACCATAGTGAAGTTTGGAGTGTGACTGTTTGAGGTTGTGGACAGGTGTCTTTTATACTGATAACAAGTTCAAACAGGTGCCATTGATACAGGTAATGAGTGCAGGACAGAGGAGCCTTTTAAACAAGAAGGTACAGGTCTGTGAGAGCCAGAAATCTTGCTTGTTTGTAGGTGACCAAATACTTATTTTCCACCATAATTTGCAAATAAATTCTTTCCAAATCAGCCAATGTGATTGTCTGGATTTTTTTTCTCATTTTGTCTCTCATAGTTGAAGTCTACCTATGATGCCAATTACAGGCCTCTCTCATCTTTTTAAGTGGGAGAACTTGCACAGTTGGTGGCTGACTAAATACTTTTTTGCCCCACTTTATACATTCATTCCATCTTCTCCAATCTCCCACTGGATGTGACCTGTACATTAACCTCTTCACCCCCTCCCCTCTTGGTGTATGACCAGTACAAGTAATATCGTGTGTAGACAGGTGGATATGGGTAGAGGTCCTCTAAAGGTTGCTCCTCCTGGCATGGTGAAATATCCCTACATAAGGTGGGTGGAGCTGGGGGTCTGGGCCAGCAAACAGAAAGAAAATGAAGGCCTGCCAAGGGTGTTCATGCTTTCCCCATTAGGAGAGGGGCTGCTCTGGGGCTCATGCTGGGAACAATCTGGGGAAGGAGAGGAGTAAAGGACAGCTAAAAAGGAAGATGATTTTGGTCTCTCTCTTTATTCTCCCCTTCAGGGAGTCTAGAGCTATGCCATGAGTGGTTCTGACTTGACTGACCTCAACCCGATAGAATACCTTTGGGATGAATTAGAGACTGCGATCGGTGCCTGACCTCACAAATGCGCTTCTGGAAGAATGGTCAAACATTCCCACAGATACACTCCTATACCTTGTGAACGGCATTCCTGGAAGAGTTGAAGCTCTTATAGCTGCAAAGGGCGGGACAACTCAATATTGAACCCTAAGGACTAAGACTGGGATACCAATAAAGTTCATGTGTGTGTAAAGGCAGGAGTCCCAATACTTTTGTTAATATAGTGTATATACAAATCAGAAAAAAAAGGAATAAAGAAAACAACACTTGTGGTGATACAGAATGAACACCAATATTCTAGATATGAAACTAACTCACTTTTCAGTGTACAGCATCAAAGTACACAACAAAGGCATTAGGCTGAGTGTCTTGAGGGGCGCTCTCCACAGGTTCACAATAAGCACAAGGGACAAGATAGGGCCAAAGGAGAGTACAGTCAACCTACAAAGATTGAATCTGGTTTCCTCAAGCAGTGCAGCTGCTTCCGTATGTGACATCAAGTCCGGAATTTGCGTGACATCACGTCTGGTACGCAATGACATCCTATCCAGACGTGTGTGGGAAGCAGCCGCGGCCATGATGGAAAAAGCAAGGCCAAGCTGCTAGGCAGATGTATGAATAGCCATGAGGAAAATCAAGCACCGACACGCAATACAAAGTTCAAAAAATGTCCAAAGGGGAATGACATTGTTGCGTAAGTGACAGCAGGATTTGAGATTGGCCAATAGTATGGGTGTCCCCGGATAAGGTGATGCTTCTTAGCCTGCAGGACTTTTTTTCTCCTCCTAACTTTCTTCTCTGAATTCCACCTCACCTTTCCTCTCCCCCCCCCATCTGGGTCCATTGGGCCCGCCACTTTTGTTCACCCCCGACCCTGTTTGTTGGGGAAATTGATTTATATTATTGTACACTCAAAATGCACATACTGATGCTGTGCTACTGTTTTCATAACCCATTTTCCCTACGCAGGAACCAAATATGTCTTTTGTGTAATGTTCACCTTACATTTCAATAAAAATTATTTTACTAGAAACATGTAAATGTCTTCCTTTCTGTTCTGAATCCTAGTTTAAAGTCATGTTGCTCTCTACACTGTTAAGTGCAGACTGCAGACAGGCTGAAAGTAAATAAAGTGATTTGTATCCCGGCTTGGGCTTTTGATGACACCTTTCAAAGCAAAGTGTAAAAAAAAAGAGAGAAGTAAAAGGTTATATCTGCAAAGTTGCTCTGGATACATTAAAGGAATGCTTGTGCGTTAAAGCATGGTTATCCTTGAAACGTATCTGTCAAGGCTAGCAAAGAATCACAATTTTGTAGATTGAACTGAAACAATACAGAAATGGATGGCTCATTATAAATACATATTTGCTTTACTGAGTCATTAGAAGAGGAAAACCTGTTTTACAATACAATGTATGAACTGAAAACCCCTATTAACATTTGTATAAACTCCAATGCTCTGCTGTCTACACCTACATAATTAGCTGTGCCATCTAGTGGTTTTTGCTGTGTTCTGCAGTAGAGGCTCATGGGCCTCCAGCTTTCAAATATAATCAAGCTTACTCAGAAGTTAAATAGATACATGTAAGGCCTATTGCATTCGATCATAAAAAGAACTTGCATCCTCAGAATCTCCAACCCCTACTTCCAGCGCAAGGAAAACCCTTTTATAAATAATTCACAGAATCAACATTCTACTATGGTGTGCATTTATACAGAAATTGTTTATATTTTGTTTTTAGAAAATGTGTTTTTTTTGTGTGTTTAAATATTGCATTATTTCTGGATCTTTTACTTTAGTTGTTCTGATTTAAGGTTAAAGTGGTTGTAAACTTTAGACATGAAATATAAACAAAGCATATCTCTCTATAGCGTGTATGTGTCTCAATTAATCTACCC